CACGGATTCTCGTGCGTGTCGATGGGGGAAACAGGCTTTTGATAAACCTTGCCCCGTGAAAATTAATTTCGACCGTCGACTAATCCCAATTAGGAGTAATACAGGTAATATGCACTGCGATTCCTCCCGGTTTTGACCAAAAATTGACGCGTTTAATCAACGGTTCGCGCGGTTGATTAAAACGGGGAGGGGCAGAGATCATAATCTGTTTTGATCTCTGTCATCTCTGTCGTTGGTCGAGATTCTCGAGGCCGCTTTGCTATGAGTATTAACCCGATAGTTTCTATCCAAATAGGAAAATATTATTTGTAACTAGAATAATAGAAAATATAACGTATGGTCCACGAAAATATAGTTTCGATTGGATAGAAATTCTTGTATTACGATTTCATGTATATGTAAGACAAGTTACACATACGTTTCTCTGATTTGCATTACGTGTTTCTAAACTTCAAATTTTTATACGATATCAAAGTATACGAAATCTAAGAATTCAGAGAAATTTAAAAATATTTATATTATATATATAAGAAGGAAGATGTTGGATTGAAAAAAAAAATCGGGAAAAAGTCAGACGTCAGATGCATCGACGCGAAGAAAAACGCGCGAAAAAAAGAGAGGACGATCCCTTTTCGCCATCGATCATAATCGAAGGCGGCGTGATTGGTATACGAAATCGATTCAACGCGCTCGCGTGAATTCTTGCGTGTCGATCGAAACACGGCCCGGCCGGCATTGCCCTGTCGTACCATGAGAATTAATTCGAAACAGACGCGGGACTGGATCGCGGCCAATGGATAATTGCGATTATGACCTGTGATCGATCTCAGGCCCGCCATCGATCATCCTCCACTCCGACACGCGTGATCACAAGGTTAGTCGTACGTGTAATTTCCACTTTGCAATGTTTCGCTTTAATTCCACCGATATTTGGCGAACCATGCTTCTTTGGGGCGAGCTTCGAAGGCGATACCCGTCTTCCATTTTGATGGAAAAGTGAAATACAGAAATCCGTGGTGATACCGAGATACGCGAGGAAAATTAGGAGACAATTAATTTCTATACTTGTTTACTTGAAAAGATTCTGTAAGATTTGGAAATTCGAGACTTTAAAGTTCATTATGGAATACTATGAATCATGTGTACTTTGAATATTTTGAAATTTATTTTGAACTTTGGAAATTTTAAACTTTTTCGAATTCTTTTTCGATTCTTGGATCAGGATCCATATGCAATGTTTCACGTTAATTCGATTGACATTTGGCGATCTATGGTTCTTGGGACGAGCTTTGAAAATGATAAGTTCTATGCATATTTAAAGATTCTGTAAAATTTGGAACTTCGAGACTTTAAAGTTCATTATGGAATACTATGAATCATGTGTACTTTGAATATTTTGAAATTTATTTTGAACTTTGGAAATTTCAAAACTCTTTCAGATTCTACGATTCTTGGATCGGGATCCACGTGCAATATTTCACGTTAATTTGATTGATATTTGGTGATCCATGGTTCTTGGGATGAGCTTCGAAAGTGACAAACTCAATATATATTTAAAAATTTTGTAAAATTTGAAAGTTCGAGACTTTAAAGTTCATTCATGGACTAAGATGAATCGTGTGCACTTTGGATATTTTGAAATTTATTTTGAACTTTGGAAATTTCAAAACTCTTTCAAATTCTATGTTGGATCAGATTAAATCTCACGAAATGCCGTTATCTTTATTAAGACGCTTTCAGGTGCTTTCACGAGTCTCTATTCACGAGATCTTCATGGTTTTCCGGAATGGTTCCACATAGATTGCATAATTCGAACTTATGGTTCTCGAGTCCCAATGCTCTTACAGCTATTTTATGCTCTTCGTTATCATGCACCACGACTTCTTGAGAAGTACATTATAATTTGGCTCTTGGTAGACTTGAACCTCGCATAGCTTTGTATTAATCTGTAAAATTACATTGAAAAGAATCTAAATAAATTTAAGGGTATACGAAATTACAAAATTACAAAAAAAAGAAAAAAGTATAATCTTATTAAAACAAGGAGAAAATTCATTTGCCAGCATTCTCAATCTCTCTCGCTCTCGTCTCCGTCTCTAATTGACATAATCTTATCGTTATGTTACAGGTGCGTATTATTAACGAGAATTGAATTTTCCGCCACGTCCAGTATTCCAACCGGAAGAGCACCGATGAACGATAAGTAAGGATAACCGTAAATCACTCGGATCGAGGCCGTACGTCTCGTCCAGGCCAGGTTCGATGCGTGCGGCGTTATTCAAATGTACGTATATATATATATGTATATATGACGTGGATACGCCACGAGTCGGTCGTTTCTCGTGCACGTGGCCACGCATACACGCGCCCACGCCGGAAGTGCATCGTAATGGATGCGGCGCACGATACACCCTCCCACTCGATCTTCGCCTAGCCCGCTTCATAAATCGCAAGAATTCGAAATCTCGTCAAAACGACCGCGAATAATATGTATCCTGTTATTTCATGAACCATTTCTTTCTTTCTTTCTTTCTCTCTTTTTTCTGAATTTTGTATTTCCAAATTATATTATTACGATCTCGTCCAATCATCTCGAGAAAGGGAAAGAGTATTTAAAAAATAATTTTTTCTGATTTAATTCTGATGATTGTCAGATTAGCTTGTAGAATCCTCATTCTGATTCTGATTGCTCAAAGGAAAAAAAAAAAAAAGGAATAGTTAGTTAAGTTATAGTTAATTTGTGAAATTTAAAATTTTCCTTCCAGTATTGTTATATTAATACAATTAGTATATTCTGATACAGGATGTTAATACAGAATGTTCGTGAGATATATGTTTTTTGCGGTGATGGAAGCATGTTATAGGAAAAATATAACGAATATCCTCCTATTCGAACAGAATGTAAAACTCTTACTCTTTGAAATTATTTGCATACGAATCTGGTATCTGGCTCCCAATATCTCTTCGTATTCCAACGTGTATCGTTATACATATGTACGTGTATACGGGAATCGTTTGGATAAACTCGCGGATCCGTGATTCCTCCTTATCACGGCGTATTCAACAACGTTAATCCAGTTGGAGAACGGGGAGATATCGCGTTACGGGGTGTATCACGCAATGTCCTCACTAATTTTTTTCCCACTCCATTCCCGTTTTTCACGCTTCAGAATTTAACATCCGGATGAAATTCTATCGCGATACGCTCGTTAACCGATCGCCCGATTTCTCGTGATTTAATTCGCGCAGGAATTTTTCGAGGAAAAAGGGGGAAGAGATTCGAAGACGTGGAATTTCTATATTATATTTCTATTGGAGATATTATTTGCGAGTTATTATGAATTCCTTTTGGATGATTTTGTAATCCAAATTCTTTATCGTGAACCGTGTCTTCTATTTCAATTCTCTCTCAGATTTTTAAAAAAATTAAGTCAGTGACACTTTTGATTTGAATTTTTTTATAGAATAAATAAAGTTAAAGTAGAAATTATAAGTGAATGATGAATGTGTAATTATATATATGAAATTCGTGATGATATTTTAAATTATTATTTATCTGCAAGTATATTGTTAAATTTATAAAGTAGGGGTCATTGAATGATCGAGCTCATCTAATTTAATTCTCCAGATTTCTAAATATTCATAGCTTCATAGAATTTACACGAAACGAAGAAAACGTTTTATCTACTTCGGTTCTAACGGTATTTCTAATAATTTCAATCCACGACGAGATTAGATCTCGTGTATTAACGGTAGATGGTTAAAATTAAAGTGTTATTATAAATAATAATAATATTTCTATCTGAATGTTAAAAACTACATTCAATACCTAGTTTTCAATAATTGAAAAAACAAAAAATTTGAATATTATACATTTTTGAGATTTTGTATATCTTTTCGTATCTTATGCTATCAAACTGATACTAAAAATTCATCTTCAAAGGATTGAGACTTCATTTATATATATTCATCAGCATTTTTCAATAATCGTAAAAATTAAAAATTTGAAAATTATACATATTCCACAGAAAATTCTCGAAACGATTAAAATTTCCTCTTTCCACTAATATTATCTCAAAAAATCTCGAGATCAGAGCTTTTGACACACCCTTCACCTCTATCTCCATTCACGCTTAGAGAAAACATATAATTTTTTTTTTGTAATATTATTTGCTTATTAAAATTCTTCGGTATATCATAGCCTGACCGATAAGATCGAATTGCATCGAATTCGCAGTTTAATATAACATTACACGCGTCAGATAGGAGTATAAAACGGCGTTTCGAAAGGAAATGGTGGTATGCGTTTTAACCAGATCGCAGATATGGTTGAACAGGGCCGATATTTTCGAGTTGAATAACCGTGATTCCAGATTAAATTGAGTCACACTTGTATCGTAATTATGATCTTTTCGCGGCAACGCTTTTCCCAGTTTCAGTTTCACAACTCGGCCGAGCATTTTATTCAAACTTGTGCCGATTTCGAACGAAACTCGGTGTTCCCTGTGTCGTTGCTCGAAGCTTGGAGAGCGCCGAGGGCGGTTCTAATCGGGAGTAAGAAGCAAGTGGCGATATATTTTTAGAACAGCAGTGGATTTATAAATCGGTTTGACCGTAATGCGAGAACAATGTTCGATAAATATTGAACGGGAGTCAAATATAACACGGAGGTCGCGCTCCATATAAACGGGGGAACGTACATGTGTACGTCGAGGAAAACAGGGAGAGAATAATGGTGTGTATTCTTGGTATGGAGAACATCTCAATACGTGACGTTTGTTAACGTTAAAATGCACTTGCATTTGTGTATTGAAAAATGCAGTTTTTCACTATGCAGTTCCCTTTGAGGGAGTTGCAGAGTTTACGATGATGCGTATGAAAATTGTGGTGAGTCGTTGGCGAGAATTTTCAGCTCGTGTTTATGGAAAAAGAATTTGCTTCGCGCTTCGCGTATTTATAGATAGTGTAATTCTTTTGCGATGTATGATATTTAAAACAATCGGAATTTATTTTTTGTTTTCAAATATTTTTTTTTTCTTTTTTTTTTTTTTATATATTTTTTAATACTTTCAATCGACGAAGTTTCAAAGATGAATATTAATTACGAATATATTAATAAAAAAATTTTGATGAAAAAAAACAGTGCTATTCGTATTTTGTTAAAAATCTCGCTCGTATAACTTTTATATCGAAATTTTTTTCATATTTTCATTAATTTTTATATTCCAATTCGTATACTATATTTTTTAAAATATATTTTTCGCTTCTTATTTTGAGAATTTCATGGACCGTGAATATGGATTTAATTAAAAAAATATATCTAATTTAAAAAATTTGTATTTTCAAGTTGGATGTTATTTTTTTTTTTTTAATAATATTGGAATATTTTAAAAGTAATATTGGAAAAGAAAGAAAAAAAAATATATTCGAAAGAAAAAAAGTTTCGTGAAACTTTTCGCGTTGAAAATTCGATTTTTTGTTCCCGTCGAAATCGTGAATCGAGAATCGTGATGAAATCCATATCGACGTAATACACGCGAAACGGCTTTTTTTGGGGAGGAAGGAAGTCGGAAAAAATTTTTTCTCCGCGAAATTTAAATTCACCCTTCCAGCGCTCCACTTCTTCCCGCCTGAATTCTAATTAATCCGGCCATTTAAAAACCGATGTAATTTCTGAACTTGCGCTGAAACGCATTGAGAGAGAGAGCAGTTAATTTCTCCGATGCAATTTCGGATTGTTAATAAATAAATTCATTCCCAAACAGCTTTTAATCAACCTGTTATTATTATTTTACAATTCGAATTCGAAATTCTCCGCGGAAAAGAAAACGATCAAAAGTACGAAATATCCGAAAAATTTTACTTCGAGTCGAAAGATGACGCATAAATATAAATATACGTAATAATCATCTTTGCTCTCTCTTTCTCTCTCTATCGAATTCTTCCAATTTTTTTCCCTCATTCCCACTCACGTTTGAGGTGAATCGCTGACGCGCGAGAGGGTAGCCGAGCGGGTTCACCGATTACTCGGTTGGCGGATAGAGTTCTGGCCTTTAGGCGCGAAAGAGAAGCGCTCTCTCCCTCCCTCCCTCCTTCGAGGAGGGTGAAAAGCGCGTGCACACGTTCTACTCTGTTGAGCGGTTAAATAAATGGAATTCAGGTCAACGGTGGAAGCGCCGTTGCAAAATAATAACAAGGGTGACAAACCTGTATTGTTGTTATCGATCACGTCGAACTTGGAGAATCGAATGGAGGGAATTAACGTATGTTGCGCCACGATAATAACATCGGTGAAAAAAATAATAATAAAAAGAATATTCTTCAATTTAGAATAAATTTTCAAAGTGGATCGTATATAAATTTTAAATCGAGCGAGGAACGTTTGATTGAATGAAATTATATCGCCTCTTATCGCGTTAAAACAAACGATTCTTGCGCGCATTCTTTCCTTTTATCCTCAACACTTAATCGATATATTTATCCGTCTTTACCCCGTTTTAAAAACTGATTCTAACAAAGAGTTATCACGATTCAATTATCACACACGTGTGTCTTCCGGCAGGCGTAATAGATTTCTTAAATTATTGGCGCACGTCGCACGCACGTGCTTATCAAGCGGATACTCTTACGCGCTCGTAAGTCGTCAGCATTGAATCTGGACGGAAGGATTGATGCTTTATATTGAAACGTTTCCAAGTGTATCAGAGCATGTCCAACTCGCGAGAGATTAAATTCCGTTTGTTTCCATGTATCGACTCGGTCATGCTCGAATACGTTTTTCCATCCAAGACAATTTCCTCTTCTCACCACATATCAGCCTCGAATCAACAACTCGAGACGATTTCCCGAACACTGTTCCATGAATTTCTTACTAAGCTAATTTTAAAATCATTTCCCTCATAAGTTAAACTTTTGTATAAAACTTTTTAATTACACTACTGTAAAGATATACATAAGATATTAAAAATATTAAAAAGTTTTATACAAAATTTTATAAAGTATATAAAGTAGTGTAGAGAAAGAATATCGTTTCGTGTGATATTTTGTATCGTTCGATGTCTTTTGTTATTTAGTTGAGAGCAAACCTTACAATCCTTTCTTAACTCTTGTTCATCACTATCTCACTATCAATTTCTTTATGAATAGAAGTAATTTCAATATCATCTCACATACTAATTTCATTACCACATTCCATTCTTAAAACAAAACTCGAAAACTCGAAAATAATATCGCCACGACCGGATCAAACTCGGGCCAATAACGATAATCACGGTCTAATTCGAG